TGGTCCCAACACCGAGCCCTGTGGAACACTACTTGTGACTGGCCACCAGCTGGATTTAGCTCCATTGACCACCACTCTCTAGGAACAGCCAACCAGCCAGTGCTTGATCCAGCAGACCATTTGCTCATCCAGGCCATGGACAGCCAGTTTTAATATGAGAATATCTCACAACTGAGATATGTTCATAAAGTGAGAACGGTAGGGTAGCCTTGATGGTAAGAATTGCTGACAAATTGAGGTTTGTCTGTAAGAACCTAGTCTTTGGGATTTCCCTGGTACCTGTACTTATCACAAATAGAAATTGCAAGCCGTAATTCTTGTAATGTCCTTCCTTTAGGAGAAAGGTAGAGCCTTCTCATGAAAGCCTCTCTCTTCACATATGGAATAGCTTCAGCAGACTCAGTCCAGGTCTCAACTTCCCCCAGCATTTAGTACAGCTGTAAAATTCAGGACATGGAGTAAAGGTGGTTTATGGCTTTTCTCTGTGTGTGTAGTTGTTTAGAAAGTACATTTTAGTAATTAATTTTCAAAAGGCGTTATTGTTCTCAATAATCAATTCTGAGTTTTCTCAACATTGTGGACGCGATGCCAAGCTATTTGCCTTAGTAATAGTAAAAAAAAAAAAATATTTTTGAGCTGTTAAGCAAATGATTTTTAAGTATTGTGCATTCCCAATGAAGTTGATAAATTGATACTAAATCAGAGGGACACCTTATCTTGCCCATTTATTGTCTGGATGACTAGTAACAAAAATTGCATTACTTTTCAGCAAGAAGGCTGCCATGAGGCTTGATCTCAGAAATGCCAACTACCGTTAAAACTTCTCCAAGAAACGTTTCACCATTTCTTTCTGTCCACCAACAATATTTTTTTCCATTTCTATCTGAAACACTTTCATTGTTCTGGACTATGAAGGTGAATGCAGTTTTTCTTCAGGCAAACAACTGACAAATCCCTGAAACAAGATATTTAGAGGAACAGTCTGCATTTTGAATTACTTAAATTTAGTCCAGAATTATAAAATACCTAGATCTCACCAGGTTGCGATCCTCAGTTTTCCTGTTTTGCCCATTTTACTCATGATTTCCTTCCTCCTTCTTGCCTCTTGTAATCCTCTCTTGCAATTTTTTACATAAGAGACCTTTAAACTTACTGCTAACAAGGGACAATAACTTAAAAGGTATTAGAAATCTGCATGGGAATTGTATGGGTTCGCATTTTATCCCTAAGGTGGGTTTTTCCTGATATTTAGGTCTGCCATAATTATGCATTATATTGTTTGCACTATCAAGACAGCGCATTATTTTTCTTACCTTCTGATATTTAGCATGAAGCACTTGGAAAGAATTGGGAATAAACAAATTCATAAGTTGCAGTCTAAGCCTGTCATCTGAAGTAGGCCAGCATTAAACTGGTCTAGGATTGGTGAAGGAGAACTGCATTAGATGAGAGTGGAAGGACTAAAAGTAATTTTTTTTAGTCACTTCTACAGTAATTCAACTCTTCAGAAAACTCCCAGTAAGATTGATTTTTTTGTAGTTCGGTTTACTCTGGAAAATATCTTTTCCTTCCTGCACATGCAATCTGAAAATTTGAATGGCAAATTAGATTCTAAAATGATTTTTAGTACACATCAAAAGTGTTAGCTGGATTATACTAGTAACTGTAGCAACTGCATAAGTGGTGGTGGCATTTTGTGCTGTGTTATACCCTTCTGCTGGAAGGGGCAAGTCTAAACAATAGTGCAACCTCTGTATTTGAGGTCTGTCTCTTAAGATGACAAAGCAACTCCAGGACTGCTGACTTTCTTCTTTGATTTCCATTTGTTTCATGAGTGGAACTCATATTTTTAAGGGTTGCTCAGTGTGCTACAACAGCAGTGGTTTTAGTGTAACCACAACCAGTTAAGTCCCATTGATGATTTTTGCTATAGGAATGAGGTGTGATAGGATAGATTTTACTCTGGTCACCAGCGTGTGTTTACATGGCATCAGGTGGCCCCTTTTGCCATTAGAGATTATTAAGCTTTGCTAGTGTGATATGAAAGACAATAGCAGGGAAAGACTTGTTTCATCTTCTTGACTCCCTCTTCCCTTGCACTGTGCGTCCAGTGCATAGCCCCTCATAACTAGAATATGCTGTCATCCGTAAAGATGTCCACGCACCCGAAACTCATACTAAATATAAGCAGATCCCAGGGAGGTTTAGGTGCATGTCCCTTCTGAGTACTAATTTACAGTCAACAATAGCGACTGTTAAGTCTGTAGATCTTTTTCATAGTAATGTTCATGGAAAACCAATGATTGTTGCTCTCCCGTATGACTTGATACTCTTCTGCATTGAGAACACATGTAAGTTTGGCCTGAAAGAAAACTCTGGAAAATTTTATCCCTAGAAACAAAACTGGGTGAAGGTAGTAAAGAGGTTTCTTAAGGTGAGCTGTCATGGTACAGGAAGTGTTTTAGCAAACAGTACAATAGAACAAGACCGTATCACATTAAATCTCCTCATAGATGCCAAAGAAATTATGCTATGCTAGCAAAATATCTCCTTTGATTTTTTTTTTTCTTTCTTTCTTTTGCTGGGAGAGGTAAAGTACCCTGCCTGTACTGCTTAAAAATCATGCACCTATGCGGTTGCAGTGTCACTCCTGCTTTAGAAATATTGGTTTAAGAAGCATCAGTGCAAAGATTTTAGAGTAGGCACAGGAGGGATGAATTATTTTGATCTGTGTTTATTGTATGTGTACTTGGATGCAAGCTTTGTCCTCAAGCTTCATTTATTGACTGCTGATATAGAAGGTACAACTGTGAATTAGGAATGACTTCAAAAACACCTGGGTGAACTTAAAGCACTTGGAATGACCAGCACTCACAGGTTTTTTAAGTCTATTAACATGGGTTAAAAAAAAAAAAAAAAGATAACAGCGAATACAGTGAATAGTGGGGACAACCTTACTGACGTATGGGAAAACTCCACTGTATGAACAGTAGGGGAATGCTGTGGCTGAGGCATCTATAATGACTTTCATGGTCATGACTTGTTGCACAGCATTCTCACTTGAAAACCAGAAGGCAGGTGTGTGAATTTCAGTGGTCCTCTCTTTTCTGACATTTCATTTCAATTAAAAAATGTGAGAACTTGAAGTTTCCCTTATTAAGCGGAAAAATGAAAATGCAAGCATGTCCAGGAGATCACTGGTTTCTTCTCTGTCAGTCTGCCCATTTCAATTCAATATGATACTTATCAGCAGGGATTGACACCTAAAAGTTACAAGGGCAAACAGCCTTTTCCAACAAATTCATACAGCTGTCTGCTGTATTTTTATTAAAAATAATTTTTAAATGAAAAGTTACAAAGATGTTGCAAAAACTGTTGTGAAGTAGAAATATTCTATTAAAAACCACTTAAAAATTATGCTGGAGTGAAAACTGGATCTTCAGATGTTGAAGTTCCTGTTCATCTTTGAAAGTCCTTATGTTGAAAAAGTATCTCCTGATACCTTATTTCAGATAATTACATGGCATCTTGGGGAAAAAAAAGGAAATTTACTTCTGACTGCACAGGTCTAATATAGATTTTGTCTTTCAATACTGGAATTCTTAAAAGGCAAAGGATTTCAATGCTTAAACACCAAAAACATTAAATTAATGGAGTTGGTTATTTCTCATACGGTACAACTCCACATCACTGAAGTAGGAAAAAATGCTTCAGATTTGTTTTTTGTATGGAAATGGGGAGTTCCCAATGCTTTGTGTAGGTAGGATAAACTTTGAACAAAACATATTCAAGTGTTGATTAAATATCTTGTTTGCGTGCCTAATTGAAAATTGTTTGTACTTGGAATGAGAATAATTGTAATTTGTATTCCCTTTAAACCTACTTGCTGGGGAAATGTGAAGGAGTTTTTACATAAGTGAAGATACAGCACAAAATACTTACAGATGATTGAATCTGTAACAAACGACTTTTGCAAATCCCAGGTATTGTAGTGTCATAAGATTTTGCATCTAAGAAAGCTACCTCAGAAATAATGACAACTTTTCAAATTGCTGAGTATAGGGGAGAGGAAAAGGGTGAATGTCTCGAGCAGTTGACTCTGAGCATTTTTTGCACTCACCTGTCCCCACTAGTTACTTGTGGCTGTGACAAAATTTATGGTGCAGACAAAATGGGTATTTTTAAAACATTTATTCTTTGCTACAAATAAAAATCTGTGATTCATATGTTTTTAACTGAAAGAGTTCTTTCAAAGACCCTGAACTAGTGTGTTTTGGAGGAAGCTATTTGAATAAAAAATAATGCTATTGCTTTTCCTGGCTTGCTGAACTGGGCTCTGGTACACAAGCAGTGGTGTGCAGCTCATCCTGGTAAGTTTAATTGCTGCTAATGTTTTGTTTACATGACAGTTGGATTTTAAAGGAAAACACCTATGGGAATACAAAACAATTTTGCATTCTTCAATACACGTGATTATCTTTTTTTGCATGTTCAGGATCACTTGCAGCAAGTTTTACACATACATAGAGTTCTCATGAGCATCTGCCTGCCTACAGAACTGTGAAGAGTAATAGTGTTTTGATGGGGTTTTTAACTTTTATGTTCTCAAGAACAGAAGAGAAACTTAATTAAGGTTTGTAGATAAGATCTCTAAGGAAAGAACATTGTAAGAATTTACTTCTGCTGGATTTTTTTTCTGAGATCTTGAAGTCTATTTCCATTACTCGACAGGACTGGCAGATGAATTGCAATTAAAGGCAAAATAGCAAAAGAAATTAAATACTGTAATGACAGCTGACAGTGTGGCCTTCCTTCAGTACTTTTCATTGCATAGAAAGTGGGGCTCCAAGTCCTGATCAGTTTAGTAAAGAACCTTGCTTTAGTAAACTCCATTACCCTGTTAACCGTGGGCTCTAGTTCTCCTGAGCAATGCATGAGCAATGAGGATCTGGGTTTCCTTCTGCTAGATGAAAACTCTTGCTTTTCCTTCTTCCCCACAGGAGGAGAGGTTCCGTACACAACCCTGGCAACCCGACTGATGATGGGAGCTTGGTGGCTTTTTGCTTTGATTGTCATCTCCTCCTACACGGCAAACCTAGCAGCTTTCCTCACCATCACACGCATTGAGAACTCCATCCAGTAAGTTGATAAAGAATGAATTGAGGGAAAGGAGGGTGAACATTATATATATATATATGCATGTAGAGGGCTATGAATGTCCTACTTAATGTGAGAAAAGGAAGACATTTTTATCATCCAGAGAAGTCGTTTGGAAGCTAAAATAATAACAATATACCACAGACTGCCAGTCTCCCTGGAGACACTTTGTCTTTAAGATCAGCATTGTTGGCCTCTGGCAGATATTATTCTGTAGCACATATACATAGATATGTATGCACACATGCGTATTTTGAAAGAAGGAATTGAATTTGAGATAACCAGTGTATCAGTCTTTGAAATGGGAAAGTATAATTCGTTGTTGTGTGTTTTCAGGCTATGGTTTCCATTCAAATGCATCCCACAATACTTGTGCTCTGACACTTTGACCAGGAGGTGCCCAATGCTTCTTCAGTGTACAGGGAGCTCAAAAATGAATTCACCTTTTCTTGCCAAGGCAAAGATGTATTAACAGCAACAAACAATAAGAATTCACTTACTAGTCATCTTTTCTCCTTCTGCTTCCAGGTGCTTTCTTGCCACATTAACAGATGGCATTGTTCTCTTTTTTTCTGTCTATTGGTTCTTTTGCTTCATGCCTCCCTAACATGAACGTCCTTGTCTTCCTCAGTTCCTTTTATGGTGAACTGTTTTTCTGTCACACTTTCCAGTCCTTTTTTCCAGATCATCTCATCTCTGCATACCATAGGAACCTTTCTAGGTCTCCTACCCTCTCTGCCCTTTTGTTCTTCAGTCTCCTCTCCTTCAGCAAGCTGCATGCTGAGTTATCCTCGATCCCACTGCTCCAGTGAGATCCCCCACCCCCAAATCCTTCCTCTTGAATCAAAGCAGAGACTAGAAAATGCAGTGAAGCATTAGCTAGCCAAGCACTCCAAGGGGCAACTGGCCATTTTTCCTTGGTGGGTTTATAATCTTGAGACGGCAAGTCCCTGAAAATATGTGAGAGTGGCAAAGTTAGCCTTTCCCATAAATCCTTCTTTGCAAAAATGATGAGTGACTTTAAAGAAGAGAGGCATGTTCTGCTGTATTTCTTCCTCCAGAAAGGTAAGAAACTGGCTCAGTGGTAACCCTAGGGAAAATTCAGTTTTCTCACTCCAGTTGTTGATTCAAGTCCCTGTCTTCTGCATATCATCACCTAACGTCTTGCTGCCTCTAGTTCATCTGCTTTCCAAATCTCTTTGAAATGCCCTGAGACAATGAACCACTGGTATAGACTGGGTAGGGGCAGCCTTGGCCTCCTGTGAATTCATAGGTTACGTTCAAGCATCACTGCATGCCAGTCAATCACTGCAGTCTCACTAAGGCACCTTTCCTCTAGGTGAGGATTTTCTACATACTACAGCCAATCCAGGCTTTTAGCAGCACACAGACAAGTAAACATCGGCAAAAGCAGCCAAGTTTTATTTGCAAGGGGAAGCCAAAGCTCAGACCCAAGAGCAGAAGCAGCCCGTCACTTGGAGTGCTTGGTTTTCTCCTGACTCTCCCCATTAGGAACATCCTCTTGCACTGCACCTTTCTCTTTCTCCCTGCTCCTTGGCTGAGGGGAAGCGAAGGGGGAAGTTGATTTCCCATGCTCTAAGTTGCCTGGGCATTAGCAGGCCTTATTCATTCCCAATGGGAAATGAAGTGTCTATGGTTGTTATCCTCCCTTTCTGGGCTAACAACCTCAACATTTTAATCTATTAGAGAACAAGGCATGCTAAAACAGAGACATGTAAACCAGACTAAAATCACATGAGCAGATCATTCCCATGACACAGTCACATTACCAGTTAAAGTGAGTTATCATATTTTCTTCTGAGATCTGAATAACAGACTTTGAGATCATGAAGTGCTGCAGGAGTTTTTTGACACAACCCAACTGTTTGATTCTGTGGTCCCAATTATAATCCCTTCACCATTTATAAGGGAGTAAAATTATATTCTGCATCAATGTTTGTCAACATTGATCTTTGTCAACATTGATCTTGAGGTTTTGAGGGAGGTTGATGATTTTTTTTTTTTAATTTAAAAAGTTTTACATTTGACTATGTAAAGAGTGTGAAGAAACAACATGGGAATTTGTGCATGCAAAATAAATAATAATGATATATTCAGTCATTCGGTTTATCCTTACAAATATGAAATATGCCTCTGCATCCTGCTTTGAAATTATGTCCCTTCTAGTTTTGAAGTAGTCCAGAAAAATGTTCAAATTACTGTGACAAATGTCTGAGGTTTCTTATATGTAAAAAAGAATAAAATATACCCAAACTATAATTTAATACATCTTCAGCTTTTTCTTGCAGTTTATTATGATGTCACTAGAAAACCCTCAGTGGAATTCTGAGGTTATTATGTACAGTTGGGACTACGCTCGTTTTTGTGCTGTATTATTTACAGGCAAAGTCACTGAAAATGTTTTATTCAGTAGAAAATGTTGCAGCTGGAAAGCTCCTGGAATGAAAGAACGGAGACATTTTTCAACGGTGCTTGCAGCTCAAAAATAGAGTAATTAGATGTGTTAAGTATCCGTTAGGGAATGAAGTTATCCTAACTACTGTGGGAGTGTAAAACTTTAGTTTACAAAACTGCCAAAATTGGAACTCAAACCCGCACGTAAGAGAGGGGCTGTTTGTTTACCATGCTGAATTACTGCAAAGTGGGAAACATGGATAAGCAATAAAGAAAAAAGCTGATGCTGCTTTTTTTTTTTTTTTTTTAAACACATCAAATTGTACCTTGGGGAGCTTTGAAGGCCAGAATGAAAATGAGTTTAAATATGTAAAGTAAATAAATCAGATTCTGCTCGTAGTGCTATCCAGCCAGCCTCAGAGAAGTCAGAAAAATGAAAGAAATTGAAATCAGTAGGTTTGCACAGATGTAACAAGTAGTTAATAGGTTTTCATTTCAGATTTCCAGCTAGCATCAGATATTACAGTGTGTTGTGGAGATACAGTCCTTATTATATCATGTACAGAAGATAGGAGGATTCAAGCAGCCTACAGCACGTTTCATTTCCATGAAACTTTTTGGTAGTTACTGTACTTCAGCTTTTGGATGTGTAACCAGTTTGTATTCAGAGATCTTGCAGCTTCCCTTTCTCAGCTGGTATGAAGGTCGGACAACTTTTCCTAGTCAGTGCTTCATGATATCCAGAAGCTCATTTTGAGAAGAAAAGCATATAAAAGTCTGTTAGGCAGTGCACTAGGGGGTACTAGTTAAATGTTCCCTTTACCTAGAGACTCAAAGTAGATCTTTGCTGTATAGCCTCACTTGAAATTGATGGAATTTGTTCTCTGCTTCACTGATTAATTTGGATGAAATTGTTACAATTTCTAAATTAATTTAGAGGAACAGGAAGAATAAGAGTGGGTGTTAATCTTCTTTTCCAGACAAATGGCTAATACCTTGGGGAGTTCAGCTTTTCATCTTGTGCCAACAGGCAATATCAGGAGTAGAGGCACACAAGTCATAAAGTAGTTCCTAGATGCATCTTTTGTTCAGACTTGACCCACATTGCAGATGACATTTAAATCAAGACAGTCAGCATTTCAAATGCCAAAACATCATCTCTTATCTTCCTTAAATCTTTAGATCACTGTCTCAAATGCAACATGAATGAATAGTCATTGAGTGGCTTTTCTTGGTAAATGCCAAATAAATTTGGAGGTCTTGAGCTATTTCTCATAGGTGCTGATGCTGTGAATTTCATTGCTGAGCCAGTATTGCCATTATTGTGTTTTATGATTCCTTTAGGACAGAATTAGAGTCCATTGGCAGAGACTGATTTTACTGAGACTACTGCATTGCACTGTTTTCCCAGGTAAAGGGAGGGTGTCACCACCTTCTCACAAGCACTGAAATTTTGCAGGAAAGCTGCGTAAGTGGGTTGGGTAGAGGAGAAGTCAAAGGACTTGTCATATGAAAAGCTGTTGTTAGGTGGCTTCAAGTTTAAATCTAATCCATTTCTAAAAGCGTGGGAGCTTGATTAAGACTTTAGATTGTATGTGTTATGGGGGAGAGTCTGTGTCTTGTGTCTTCTGTGAAATAAGAAGTTTGCACTGCATTCTGCATACTTAATAGGTGAGACCTCTACCTCCAAATAATGGAGGCATAGCAGTAAAGCATGTCTTTTGGCATCCTTGTTTTGCCCAGTCATTCTTTCCACAACATCTTTCCTAAATTACGATTCACTTGAAGCTAAGATGTCCTCAAAACTTTAAACAGCTCTCTACAGCTGCCTACAAGATTTCTGCAAGGGGAATTACACAGGAGTGAAGTAACTGGAGTAGGTATTTCTTTACATTGGAAACCAGAATGTTCTTTAACCTTTCCTTTAACGTGGTTTGCCTGGATCTTTAAACTGGCTAGCAAGCATTGTTACTAGTTTCTGACACAGCTGTCACTGCCAACAGTCAAATCTCTTGCCTTACTGTGCCCTGTTCCCTAAGCCTACCTGTGAATTAATCATTAATGTCCTAGAAAAAAAGAAAAAATGAATTGAAAAGCTTTATCTGAATTTGTCATAAATAAAGACTTCAGTGTAAGCCATGACATCAGTCATTTTCTCCTGAAATTTAGTGACTATTTCTTGCAGACAGTTCTGTGCAACAGTCAAATCTAACATGGCCAGCCTAAATCAATCTGTAACCCAGATCTACAAAGATACTTTGATGCCCAAGCCTCTTACCTCAGTGGTATTTAATCACCTGGAAAGGAATTTGGTTATTCCTTTATGGAATATAATATTCCTTGTTTCTTTACATTTTCTGTGTACTATTTAAACACTTCTTGCTGACACATACAAACAACATGTTAACAATTCTAAGTCTAGATTTGAATTTATAGAAGAGAACATGCTTTGGGAAAAGGAACATGCGAATCCTTTTATGTTTGGGGGTTTTTTTTCAAGTTCAAAGCAGAGATAATTTTTTTAATTACAAAGTAATTCATTTGTACTAAACCAGAAAATGAAAGTG